GTGAGTGCTGTGAAGTGTGTAAACCTGGCGATTCACAGACCTATACCCCTGGGGCTAATAATACATTATATGTTTTTAAAAAAATAAAAAATTAAAAAAAAAGAAAATCATAAGGAAAACACATTTACAGTACTGCACTACATTTATTAAAAAAAAAATCCATGTATAAGCAGACCCGTGTAGTTCTCATCTGTGTCCTTCAAGGGTCAACTATATTTGCTATCTCCCTAGCTTCAAGAACTCAGAAAATTCATCTGAATGGGAAAAATGTTCCATTTTTAATCATCACTGACAGGGCCATAATTAGGTCAGGGTGACCAGAATTCTGTCACAGGACACCCAAATTTAGAGAGCATAAATTTAAGGGGAAAAAAATACTGTTTAAGGCAGTGTAAAATTTTAAGCTTCTCAGCAAGTTTTCACACCAAGTCCCCAGTCACAAGGCTACTAGCTTGACCCCACAGACAGCCCAGCCTCCTGGTAGAGATAAAAATAGATAGTGCTGGAAAGCGAAGGTCAAGGGCAGAGACTCCTCTGACCCTTCTGTACTCTGAGAGCTTGGGAGTAGGGTTTTCTCCTTCTTTCCACTTGCCTCCTCCTCTCTCTGGCACAGAGACCCAAGTGGCTGGCTTTATTTAGTTAGTTACTACAGATTTTGCCAGAGGCTCGACCTAAGTTCTAGGTGCCTTGTAGTTGTTTACCGACTTCCTGATGTGCACTCACTAAAAGTCATCATCTGAGAGTTGACCTCCACACTGGGAAGATAAAAATATAAAAAGCATAGTGATGCTCTCAGTCCTTATGCCTCCGCATATCTATCCTTGGGTTCTCACAAAAGTCTTTACAGCTCTTGATCCCTGGAACTCTATAAAGGGAGCAGATACTATTACCTGGTTCTGGGGGGGACATTTTTGAACAACACAATCAGAATTCCCTAAAGTTTTTGGTGGACTGTGCCGTTTTTTACCTCTTAGGTCCTTCCTAACAAGGATTTGTCTGTTAAAAATTTCACAAAGCCACTATTTTTAAACATAAAAATTAAAATTATGGAGTCTGATTTTTCAAAGAAATAGAAAGCTGTATATAATACATCATAAAAACTGTGACAGCTGCTGACCAGAAGAAATGTTCTTGATATTTTTTTCTATTTCAGAATCATCTCTAACACTTCTGTAAAGCTTCTGAATAATCTAAGAATATTTTTGTCAAATTCAGAATCCTGGGATTTCTTCCATTGTTTTCCACATAGATTGGGAAGTTATGTTGCCCACTGCTTCAGGTACAAGTTACATATAACCTAAAATTAGTCTGTAGCCAAGGGCAATAGACATCACAAAGCCAAACAGGTGTTGTCTGGGTATCTATCATTTGGGGTCATTTGTATCATTTTGGAATATTTACCTTTTTAAATTAGAAGTAAACTATATAGAAACAAAATCCCATGGGCCCTCTTTAACTTCATGTGTTGGTTGAAACTGTTGATCATATACTCTACTTAAAGTATATGTATCCATTGTCCTCTTCCATACAAAAATCTTTCATACAAAAAATCACTTTTCTATCTTAGAGAATGACTTAATCCTTCACCTATGCTAATTTTACTCTAATGTAACTAAATTAAACAGAGGTCACCCTTACTTACGGTCCTTAGCGTCAATGCAATTCTCATACTGGGACTGAGGGAGCTGATAAAAGGTAAAAATCAAGTCAGGTACCCATGCCAGCTTCGTCACTCTCTCTTTTGCCCCCAGGGAGCAAGCTAATTTTTGCCAATAAAAAGCAATTTCGAAATTAGACCAATATTAGAGGGTGACACACTCTCTTGGCAGATGCATTGAAGGCAATGAAAAATTTTCTTACTGAGTATGTCTAGCATCACCTGAATATCTTCTGAGCTAATCTTATGGATCATTAGTATTAACATGTCATTGACCAAATTTGGCAAAGTATGAGGCCCCATTCCAGATAAACAGAATAAAATAACAGGTGCTTTGAGTTCAAATTCTTTTTTTTTTTAAATGTTACTGTCTTCTTTTATTTTTTTTTAAGATTTTATTTATTTATTTGACAGAGATCACAAGTAGGCAGAGAGGTAGGCAGAGAGAAAGAGGGGGAAGCAGGCTCCCTGCTGAGCAGAGAGCCCGATATGGAGCTCGATCCCAGGACCCTGGGATCATGACCTGAGCCGAAGGCAGAGGCCTAACCCACTGAGCCGCCCAGGCGCCCCTTGAGTTCAAATTCTTAATAGTAACAGAGTATTCCAGTCTATTCTGCAAGATAATTCTGGATAGAGTGTCACTTAGAAAACATATATTTCAATAAGGATAGAGATGTATGACTTTATGCTACAACACACATGTGCGTACACACACACACACACACACACACACACACACACAAGGATAGTCACACTCTTAGTTTAGATACCTCTATCTCACCATGAAAAAGGACTATGTATGGCGTATCTTTGAGTCAATATAAAATAATGCCATCTGCAGTCTACTATAAGAAACCATTCTCATTCAACTGTAGTCATATTCCACACAATGTGAGCATGTATAGGTGTCCCTAAGTGAAGACAATTTGGAGCAATCAAAGCATTCTTTTGGTCTAATCCAGGGTTTCTCAACCTTGCCTCTATTAATATTTTAATATTAATTAAATATTCCTTCCCTGTGAGGGGCTGACCTCTCCACTGTAGGGTGTTTAGTGGGATCCCTAGCCTCTGTCCCCTAGATGCCAGGAGCATTCTCCAAATCACAACAATCAAAAATGTCTCTACGCACTGCCAAATGTCACCGGATAGGGGAGGGGAATCACCCCAGCTGAGAAGTACTGGTCTAATTCAGTATTATCATCTTGGGCGATTTCTGTTCTGCCTTTCAGAAGCCACAAATTTATAGTCTGAAAATTGCACAGTTCATTGTATAAATCTATCCCAGAAATCACAACAAGATGTTAAATTTCCAAATGGCAGCTTCAGTGGAACTGTGATGCACAGGCTTTATGGAGCTCTTTAGTTACATTTTAACAACTTTATCAGTTAAAATGCTAATTTGCGGGACACATGTTTTTCATTAGCGCTTTTACATTTTTGATGAAGTGTATAGGTAAAAATATATTCCTTTTTATGGTAATTATTAAATAATAACAATGGCTCTAAAAAGGAAATAGGTTTAGGATTTCACATCTAGTGTGTATTCAACACAGCTCACTCATAGTACATTCTCATTACATTTTTGCTGCCATATAGATCAAAATAACAAATCAGTCCTGTACAGAATCAGTATTCTCAAATTCTTAACTCTCCAAGCATCGGTATAATATGTGTTATGTCAACCAGTCATTTTTTAACTGCTGATTTCTATAAGAACCTCGAAATTTAGTCTTACTTAGAAATTGCTTATTCTGGTGGTGATACAGAATTTTTCCAAGGGCTCTGTTATCTCAATGCTTTTAAATGAACCCACCAAAAACTGCCACCTGTTTTAATTGATATGGTAGACTAAGTTTCTACCATTAAAAATGAGCAGAACTTTTTGGCATAGTTTACCTACATTTTGGTGACATTTAAATGAATAAAAATAGTGATTTCTAGAGTCTCCTTTTAGATTAAGGCATTCCAAAGAACAAAGACAGTGAAAGGTTTCCTTTACCTTCCTTGCACACATAAACACACTTAACTGTTTATAATCTGTCAGGGGAGTTTGTTTGCAGTTTGTCGAAACTTATATAAAAAGCTTTCTAAGTGGCCTTACCTAGTACTACCAAGGAAATCAACATCTGTGAATTCACATCCTTTTACTTGTATGAACCACATGTGTGTGACCGTGCTCAACAAAGGGTCCATTCATGAGATGTTAGGGAGAGTCAGAATGAGTAAAACAATTCCGCTCATTTGGGGTAAGCATGTGGGGGTCACGCTGCTGTGAGCTTTATGTGCAACAACAGGTGAGCTGGCTTGTCCTACTTCAAGGGGTAGTGGGTATTGGGTAGTGGGTAATTCAATTGTAGCTTTTCAACAATGATGACAGATTTTTTCCAGACTCAGTCATGCGGGTTCAGCTTTCGGAGTTGCATGGGAATGAGTTTTGATTAATTGTGTATATGTGTGAGTGTGTGTACATGAATATATACGTTTTATTGTGTGCATGTATCCTGGAGTGAATATACCATGGGAGATAGAAAAGGGATGTACCTTCCAGTCTGTTTTGTGACTAAACTTTACATCATTGTGCTTTATCTGAGTATTAAATTATGAAGACAATTATGCCAATTTGCAAATAAATAATGCACTCACATTTGTAGTCTTTTTGCACTAAAATAACATAATAATACAAACAGCGTTAAATAATGCAGACCTAAAATTGAGTTTATGCCCTCAATTCTGAGAAGGAGGGAAAGTGGCTCATGTTATCCAGACTATGAATCAACACAGTCTAAATTCAACAATGTTTCACATCGTCTAAGTAGACTTGACAGAAGGGGAGGAAGCAATTCTTAACATTTTTTAAATGGAAGGAGACTAGAGTTAACATAGACTTGGTTCAACAAATCACAATAATTAGCTGTAGTGTTTTATAGCTTTATTACTCAGTAAGGGATTTTTTTTAAATCTACCTCATCACCCACTCACTGCCCCTAAATAGGGCAAAAATAAATAATCATTTTTTAAAAACCTATACTTTTAAGATATAAGATAGGTTTTTTTTTTTTTTTTTCCCCTAAAGCCAGATTGTGTTGATAATCAGTAACACTTTGCCCTGGCATTTCCTTTATTCTACCTTGATTAATTCCTCAACTGCAGCAATTAGAGCTCTGTCTTGTGAACTGCATCTTCTAGATTTGAACCACCAAAATGTGCTTCACCAACATCACCTCATCAGCATGTTACTGGTTGAAAATCCACAATGTGCTACGAAATATTTCACAGGATGTTTCATTTCTTATTTGTCCTCCAAGACAACATCCAAAGTAGAGTTTCTCTTGGGTTTTTATAGTTGTTTTGTTTTTGTTTTGTCTTATTTTTCCAAGTGGCCCCTGTGAATCCATGAAATGACCTTTTGGAGTCATGTAGAAAACCTAACAAAAATACCCTGTCTCAGTTCTTTCTTTTTCCATGGTCCCTAGGAAGTGGGCTGGAGTGAAGTGTCTTCACATGGGTCTAGCTGCATTCTCAGTGCACCGATTTTATGAAGATACCAGAGCTGGAGAAATTCCTCTGGCATGGCATGGAAGCCAGAGAAGGGCAAGACGTTATCGTAATAGTGGTGGCTGATGGGCTGCTCATGCATATTCACAGAGAAAGGCCAGAAACCATAGATAGCAACCTCTTCACAGAGGCCCAGAGCCGCACTCACCAGAAAGAGTCCTGTGGACAGGCGCTTGGCATGTATTCCCCTACTTTTCCAGAACTTTCCAATGCTACGCAGAAAGTTGGGGTTGGCAAAGAGCACTGTTTGATTGGCACCAACATCTGACAGTGTGTAATAAACCCGGAGAGATGGCTCTGTTCCCGTCTTCATAGAGAAGGCAGGCATGTAGATGTAACTGTGGTTATAGATCTTCATGTTGTCCACAAAAGTCTTCCTGGACCACAGCAGATTCTGAAACCTATTATAGAGAAGAAGAGGCTCAGCTAAACCCTGAGAAAAGGAACTCATCACATTCCACTCTATTGTTCGTCTGATGGCCCTGATAGTTCACATTATCTCAGGGGAAAAAACGTGAAAGATGCTTCACTTATATTTAAAATCTTCCTTGAACTTACCAATTATTTCTCATCAAGTAGCTCGGCTTTCCCCAACCCCAACAGTCTTAAATTCAGGTTAAGAATCCTTAATGAAATTCCGTTTGAACTAAAATGTACTGTACATTTTGCTCTCCCAGAATTATTTGCCTGGAATGTAAAAATGGTTTAATACTCAAAAATTCACAAAGGTTGCTGGTTGTTGGATTGGATTTTTTTAAGATTTTTAAAAATTTATTCACCTGAGACAGTGAGAGCATGAGCAGGGGGGTAGTAGCAGAGGGAGAGGGAGAAGCAGGCTCTCCACGGAGCAGGGAGCTCAATGTGGGGCTTGATCCCTGGACCCCAGGATCATGACCTGAGCTGAAGGCAGACACTTAACTGACTAAGGCATCCAGATGCCCCATTGGATAGGATTTTGTTAAAAACTACTTGTGCAGGGGCGCCTGGGTGGCTCAGTGGGTTAAAGCCTCTGCCTTCAGCTCAGGTCATGATCCCAGGGTCCTGGGATTGAGCCCCGCATCGTGCTCTCTGCTCAGTGGGGAGCCTGCTTCCTCCTCTGTCTCTGCCTGCCTCTCTGTCTAATTGTGATCTCTGTCAAATAAATAAATAAAATCTTTAAAAAAAAAAAAAGCCTACTTGTGCAGTCTGATATAAGTACAGGACTGGTTTCTTCATCTGCAAATCAAAGGAACCACCTGGAAAATACTTCTTCCCATTGAAATTCTATGATCCTAGAAGTATTCAGATTATCTGACACTATATTGTAACTATAATATTACATGGAAAAAGAAGCACTTGTTACTATTATAAAATGACGCTGACAGAGTTGCCCATTTTGCTCGCTCCAAAGAACTCTACTTTCCTATGTTCTTCCAGTTTGAATTCCATAAAAAGAGGATCTCTGGTTCAATGTATTCAACTAAAATTTGTGGTATACATCTTCCGTGTCAGGCACAGGGGAATTAAAAATTTAATGACCCAATTTTTGTTCTTAAGAAATTCAGGTCCAAGTGTGGAAACAAAAATGTAAATGAGTACCACATAATGTTCTAAATGCAACAGTTGATATCTGTATACAGTATTGTGGGAATACAGATGAAAAAATAATCCTGCCTTAGGAGAAGAGTGGAGCCTGAAAAAGCTTCAGCGAGGGGATGACGTTTAAATACAGCTCCTGTCGGGGGACAACAGGAAGCACAGCAACTAAATGAGAAGAAACACTGGTCACAGGCTGGGGTGCACGGTGTCCTGGAACATTCATGAAGAAGAGCCTGTTTTCCTGGGCCACGGAGGCAGGAAGGGTGGAGGCAGTGACATGTTGCAAAAAACGTGGAGTATCTCTAATTTGTTTGTGGACTTCAGTCAGCGGTGATAGGGAAACTCACAGACGCTATTTGCATTACAAATATTTCCTCATCTGTTTAGTGGTCAATCTGTGTCAAAAAGGTAACTGGTGATCTGGGGAAGGAAGAGGCTGGTAGCTTGGGAGACCAGTGAGGAGGTTGCTGAGACAGATCAAGTATAAAAAGGGAAAAAAGACAAGGAACTACACTTAGGCTCTAGCAACTTTTATTCTCTTTCACACCGGGGTGTCACCTGTCTCATGTTACCTACAGATGGAGAACAATGCATGTAAGAATGGAATTGAGCCAAAACTTGCAGGGGAAAGTGTGGCCTGACACGTTGGCAGCATTCATCATAAATATGTGAAACTCAAACTCTGAATAAACAAATCCACAGGGTTTTCTGTAGCAATCAGTGTCCTTAATTCTGCCTGCCAAGAAAGGTATGTTCCGTAAGCCCCACAGAGGGAAAACTGCTCCAGGTTTCTTCATGTCCTTGACTCAGAAGCCTGCTTTAGCAATTTTCTCTGGGCCCTGACAAATTAAAAAAAAAAAAAAAAAAAAAAAAAAAAAAAGGATAACAAGGTTTGACAGGGTTTGTAAGTGGGATCACTTTATTCTAGAAGAAGTCATGGAAACACATTTAACCATATTCTGGGGCTAGACCAGCCTCGCCAACACAAACTCCTGCCTCTAACTCCAGTAGCCCGTGCTTAATAATTCTAGTCTCTCTGTTGCCCATCCCGATCTTCTGCTGTGCTCCTTAAAACATGAATACTTTCCCAATAATATGAACACACCCTGCAGGTAACCTCCTACTTCTTTTAAACCATGGGTCTCAAACTCCAGTTAGAATATCCTGATATTACAGCTTCCTGGGTTCCAATGAGTAATCCTGCTGAATGCGTAATCCAGCACTCCCTGGTGATTCTGGTGCAGGGGTCCTGTGGATAGACTTATTTAGTAGAAAAAGCCATCCATGTAAGTAGTCTAGCTCTCTACCATCTATCCCTCAACATCTCTTTCTTTACATCATCTAATTTTATCTTTGTTGTAATTCTAGCAGGAAGAAGTGCTCCCTCTTCCCCTCTGTGTTTTGGAACAAACCATTTCATATTTTCTAAAAAAATTCATGTTCTAAAGTGGATCTCGCTTCTATAAAATACTTAACCTCAGAGTGCCTGGGTGGCTCAGTGATCCCAGGGTCCTGGGATCAAGTCCCACACTGGGAATCTCTGCTCAGTGGGGAGTCTGCTTGTCCCTCTCTCTCTGCCCCTCCCCAGCTCCTGCTTATGTGTTTTTTCTTTCCCACAAAAATAAATAAAATCTTTTAAAAAACACAAACATTTAACCTCTCCCTCTATACCAAATTACTCCCTTCTGTCTTCTAAGCATGGTTAGAACTTGGTATGATGCAATTCTTTACATGCTCATACCATTCCCTGAGCTACATTCTAATTTTTTCATTTCACTATCAACATTCTAGAACAACTGGTCTACTTCTATCTGTTCCCTTTCTTATTTCCATTTCCTCCTGACTGCTGTGCAGAATGGCTCCTATTCCACAGTACTCTGCTGGTTAATGGAACTTACTCCTATTTTTGTAGTGGACTACATACTAATGAGAATTACAGACAGCTCCAGTAAAATCAAGGAAATTGATTTTATGTTCCCTGTCTTAAAGCTGACTGATTATCCTTGAAGAAGGCAGTCTTTCTTCCTTGAGTTTTAACTTTGAAAAGGAACATACACCTTGGATTTACCATAGCCTTGATTTTTTTGATACTGTTAAAGAACCAGCCTATATATAACATTTTATTATTTTTACCTACCCCATTTTTCATCAAATGACATTGTTTAAGAACTCCAATCAATTCAGTGCTTATTTATGGCACCCCTGATAGATCTAATGTTAGTCTGATCAAGAGCTTACTAGAGGTGGTTTGAATTCAACTAGAATTATAAGAGTAGTGCTCCTCCCCTTATCTCTCCAGCCTCATTCTCAGATACTCCTTATACCCTCACCCACTATTCCAGCCACCTCTGTATGTGCATCTGTCCACATCTTTTTGCACTGGTAGTTTCTTTTTGGCTTATCTATTCATGGCCCTGATAAAATTCTACCTAAACATCAAGACTCAAGCTTCTCCTTCTAAAGCTCATTCCTTCTTTCAACTTAAGCTTTCAAAGGAGGTTTCTTGGAACTTCTCGGGATGAACTGATTCTACCCGCCAAGACTGTGTACTCCTTGAAGACAAGGGACAAGTCTTACTTGTCTTCTGATTTTTACAACTTAGCTCAGAATAGTTGTATACTATACAAATGGAAAACTTTATTAAACTGAAAAAAGAAAATGAAATGAGATCAGCCAATGAATTATTAAAAATAGAAATGATTAATACATAATGAAAATGGGCATGAAATAGGAAAATATACCAATAAAAATAGAAATCACAGAAATAAAGCGCACTACAAATTGCATACATGATAATAAAGAGAAAATCATTGAAATTTTAAACAGTTACTATCAAGCTAACTAACAATTTGAAAATTGGATGGGGAATAGATTTATATTTGACAAGAAAATTTCAAAATAATTTCAAGATAAGTAAGATAAATATTTATAGTCTATATTACAAGAAAAACTAAACAACTGCAAATTTATCAGCCACTTGCAAATTATCTTTCTATAAAAGAAAATACTGCCAAAATTGATTACATGAAGATACAAAATTTCATTGCCATGAAAATAAGAAAACTAAAATAAAAAGGGAATGACTCTGAAAAGTATTCTCAACAAATATAAAAATAGAAGCTCAATACTGATAACATTAAAGTGTCTAAATATATTGATATAATGATATGAAAATGGACAAAAACACAGATAAGGGACAAAAACACAGATGCAAGTAATAAAAAATGTTAAATGTTCATTTTCAGAATGCCACTCAAGATGCAAACTGAACAGAAAAAAGAAAGGTAACGGTTCAGTTCTCCCCTCTTCCAGCAAATTTCTAGAAGTGAAAGAAAAAATATTTTTAAAGATCTACATGTACCCTGAAAAAAGGAAAAGAAGGGAAACCCTCAATGAATCCCCAAATCTGTTTACCTCTGAAAAACAGAATGCTTACAGAAAGAAACCAGAATATAGCTAATTTGCTGAGCACTGCTCTGGAACGTAGCAGTGCCGTATGCCTAACGGCAGAAGATACTGAGAAGCTAGTCGTCTTGTAACAATCAACAAGGCAACTGTTTACATTATGCGGCAGGAGAGACATCCAAGTGGACTGAACCCTAAAATCCTGCACTGATCAATTATCACTCTGGTTAGCAGGGAGAGAGTATCAGCCTCTACAGAGGAACAGTGACTGTGTGCCCAGAGGTGGCCCAGCTGTGGGGAAACTGAGATTCTTTTCAACTTGCACAATATTGGCCGCCAAGCTTATAATTCCCAAGTAGAATACTGACACTGGCCCAAGAGAAAAGACGCCATATAGATAATGACATTTGGGAACCAC